AGTTCCCTCACTTTTCCATTTTCACTATTGCAGATTAAAAAGGTACTGTAGGGCTTCCCTGGTGGCACAGTGGTTGAGAGTCCGCCTGCCGATGCAGGAGACACGGGTTCGTGCCCCAGTCCAGGAAGATCCCACATGCCGCGGAGCAGCTGGGCCTGTGAGCCATGGCCGCTGAGCCTGCGTGTCCGGAGCCTGTGCTCCGCAACGGGAGAGGCCACAGCAGTGAGAGGCCCGCATACCGGAAAAAAATAAATAAATAAAAAATAAAAAGCTACTGTAGCCTTTGAAACCACCGGGACCAGAGCTCAGGTGACTTCTGTGCCATTTATGAAGTCTATAGCCTCTGGCTACTTGTTAAGCTTTCTGAGTCCATTTCCTCCATTAGAGAACCAGAATAACAATAATCGCCCTAATAGTATTGGTATAAAGATTAAATGTCATCATTAAGGTAAAACACCTTTAAACATGCTTGGCAAGAGGAAGCAAAGTAAGTGATAATCCTGTTTTTTCTTCCCTATTTTAGTGCACTTTGGACTCAGTTCAGGGTTTTACACTAACTACAGAAAACTTTTCAACCGCCCTTTCTCAAAGTTTGGATTTTAATCTAGACTCTTCATCAACCACGTAAAAAGCTCTCACTGCTGCTGCTCCTGTTTTGCTATTCTTCAGAACTGTGCACTTCTTGAATTTGGGCACATCTCCTCCACCTTAATTCTAAATTGATTATTTGAAACAGATTTGGTTTCTCTTTTTCTCTCTGCATCGTTTTGGGAGGAGGAGATTTTGGATTGCCATGGCTTTTTGTGGCAAGAGAACCACTTTCAGATTAAATGCCCGTTAAAAATTTCCCTCTAGTTGACAAAGTCATTGCAAATTTCAAAGACGGCCCTAAGTAATTTAACCATTTCTTGCATTGCCATAGTGATACAGACAGAGCAAGAAGTAGCTACTATTCATACTGTATTTGGACCTGAACCCTCTTGTACTTAAAACTGAGAAGAGGGTCCATATGTTTGGCCTGGAGTGGCAGGGGCTTTGGAAATCAACCATTGTAGTTGGCAGGGGTGTGGATCCCTGGGCTGGTCAGGGTGGAGTGTTCATATAATTGAGAGTAATTATGTTGACAAAATGGGGAAGTGTAAGGGCACCTCATAATTACAAACAGATGTGTTTGAAGAATGGCAGCCAGTCTTTCAGGGGCCCCACAGACTGATGCTTCAGCATGAACTCATATTCCCAGTGGGACAGAGAGGCTTCAGCACCTCTGATGACCCAAACATTGCAAGCCAGGGTGATTGAGCTATTTTCAAAGAAAACTGTACACCAGGAAATCAGATGAGGAGGGTAGTATAGTAAGAAAAACATCAGTTTTAGAACCAAATGGTCTAGTTTAAATAGCAGATATACTACTTAATAGCTGGGGGATTTCACGGTAGCTGTATGAACAATCTATCTTGCTTTCCCTGTCTCTAAAATGGGTAGCATAATACCCACCTTGTGGAGTTGTTAGTAGAACTTACACAGTATAGGTAAACTGTCGACACGTAACAGGCACACAACAGTTGTTAGTCCAACCAACGTCATCGCTGTAGTCTCCTACCTGATCTCCCTGCTTCTATTCTGACCCTAGGATTTTCTGTCCTCTGGAGGAATTTTTTAAACGTAAGTCAGAACACACAACTGCTCAAAACTTTCTAATAGCTTCCCATTACACTTGGACTACAATCCAGGATCTTCCTCCTGTAAGATCTGGGCCCAGCTCTTGGGGCTCCTCCAACCTCCTCTATTTCCACCTTCCCTCTTCCTAGTGCCTGCCACCCAAGATCTTCTCTTGGTTCTTTAAGCACATGTCAAGTTTGTGCCACAGATGTTTGCATTCTTGGCTACTTCTCATCACTCATTTCCCAGCTTCAATATGATAACTCAAAAGAGACTTTCCTCGACCACTGTCTTGGCTGTGTTTCCTAGAAATAGAGCCTGAGAGAAGGGTTTGGGAGCACATGCTTTGTTTAAAGTGTATACTTAGGAAAAACCTACAAAAGGGTGAGAGCAGCAAGGAGGGGAAGAGGAAAAGAGAACCAGGACATGGTCTGAGATGTGATCTTAGGTAATGTCTAGCTTGGCCTGATCTATGGGTTGTGATGGTCGTGGGGGATCTGGAGGGTAAATCATTCCTCATAGGTGGCCAGCCTTGAAGGAAGGAGCCAGGCTTTTGTACCACTGTATCAATCCATCATTGGCTGACTCCAAGGCATCTCCTACCAGCCAAGGACAATTTTCCTGAGAAGGTCTCGCATTTAAGCCACAGGATTATCCTCCAGCAGCTGGAGGATGTGTGCACTGGCTTGACGATAGGATCTAGCAGGACATCAGCTCACCTGCTGGAACCACCTGCCCCAGCATTGCCATATACGCACTGTCACATAAACCTAGCTTAACTTTTGGCTTACATTTATTCTCTGATATTTTTCTTGCTTAATTACTTGTTGATTTTCTGTCTCCCTGACTAGAGCATAGGATCTTGAAAGCAGTGACATCGTCTGTTTTGTTCATAGATACATCTCTAGACTCTAGAACAAAGGCTGGTTTAATGAGTGAGTGTTGATTGCCATCCACCTTCTCCTGGAATGAGGAAAAAAAATTGTGTTCAGACAAAGAATGCGTTAAAAGCAAAATGAGAAGACTGACTTGTCCATTGTCCTTGTCATGGTTACCTGCTCCCTGGAGTTCCTTTGTTTCCTCGGCCATTTTCATGTTCCATGAGTGAAAAGTAAAGTTGGCTGCTTTTTTTTTAGAAAAGGCATTCCACAGAAACTTGCTTATAAACCATGTTTTCTGAAACAATGGTATGTGTCACCAGGGAGGCAAAGTCAGCTCTCGGCACTTATACTGAAATATTTACAGAACAGATTTGAAGAAAGGGAAAGGAAGGGCTGTCCCCAGAAGCTTATTTCCATAGTTTATTTAATATGACTCACCCTCCCCCCGAAAATATTCCCCAACCAGTTAATTGCTACTGGAGCCAAATTTTATGGAGTAAGTATTTTCTGTGGATGAAGTGATTCTCCCCCCAGATCATTCATGGGTATCAAAGCACAATCTGTTATGTGCGGTACTGTTGTTGTCTCCCTCTCCCTTTTCGTCTTTGGGGAAAGGAGATTATGGCCAAATAGCAACATGTTAGAGGATTAATAGGATAATGAGATGTGTACTTCCATCTCATACCGTCTCTACACAAATCACACACACACAACCCCCGCTGAAAGATGATGGCTGCCAACAGCTTTTGTAGCAGCCTTTCTGAAGGTTCCAGCTTCCCATGGACCCTCTGGCCATCAAAAATTCAGATTGTCTAACAAATGCCGGACCATTTAAATAAGGAGCCAGAGGCATGAGGAAAATACAGCAATACAGTTGCATATAGGAAGGCATGAGAAGAGAGTCATGAGGGCTGGGGCAGTGTAATGTAAAATAATTCAATGCTATTGCATGTAGAAGTCATGAGGCCTGGGACATTGTAATATAAAATAATACAACGCTATTTGGAGGCCCTGCAAAGCATCAAGCGTTGTGCTAAGCAACTTCAAACATTATATCATCGGGTCCTTTTCAAATGCTGTGAGGTACAGCATGTTTGTTTTACAGATAAGGAAACTGATATACATATAGGGTACGCAAGCTATCCTATATCACACTGTTGGTTTGATGGTTATTTATTGGTTTTGCCTGTCCAGCAATCATTTGCCATTATTCAGGTCATAGTACCCTGATTTGCCTTTGAAAATGCATTTTCCCAATTTTTTAGTACATGTTGTATGGAAATGGGGCTGACTCCATTTCACAACCTGGGTCTGGCTAAGCAGATTGTTCCATTATCCTGACCATTTTGTGAATTCAGTATGGGCACATGGCCTTGGCCAGGCCAGTGAGACTGAGCTCCTGCATTTTCCTGGATATGTTAGGAAAGATAATAGCTCTTTCTTGTGATTGCTTGGGAAAGATAAGTGTAGCTAATTGTGATGCTGATATGAAAGAAATTAGAGACGTATGATAAAGAGAGACATATTCCCAGTGCCATAGTTTTAGCACCTGTGTTCCACCATTGCTGAAGTTGCTGCTACCCATGTGACTTTTTAGGAGGCCAACACTTTTCCTTTATTCCTTAAGACAGTTTAAGGTAGATTTCTCTCTCTAGCAGTTGGATGAGTGTTAAGATTGAATTAAATAAGTAATGGCTGACCTTGGATATTAAGAACGGCTGACCCCTCAATGCTTATGTACAGAGCTGGAGAGCAGATACACTCCAAGGATCATGCAAGGGGAAAAGATTGGATATTTAATCTGCTTTTTCTGTTGAACCTTTGAGTATTTTAAACACAGTTCTTATTCAACTGGCCACAGAAGTAACCTAGAAGAGAAAGAATGAGACTAGGAATACAGATTGAAACACTAAAGAAACCTGGGCTTGGAATCAGTCAGTACCTGGTTCAAATCTCAGCTCTGATGCTACATATCAAATAGAGAATTACTGAACTTCTCTGCACCGTGGTTTTCTCATCAATAAAATGTGATGATAAAACCTGTCTCATAGGGTTATTCTGAGAAATAAGGAGCTGTATTTATGTAAAGCCCTTGGCCAGTGTAGCCACCCTATAAATATTAGTTTCCCATCCACCCTCAAGTGCAACCTATCTGACCCTGACTACCGAAGCTCACAAATACTGACATAGGGAAGTGGTTAGGAGCTCTCCACCATGTCCATCCACAAATAGTAGTTCCTGGTTTTAGGGCAAGTAAATGAGGCACGTTTGGGCTCATTCTCTAGGGGTTTGAATAACTAAGTATATGTGTACTTTATAGAGTCTTTGAGGGAAGGCACGTTTCTAAACAAAACCACCCTAACTCATAGAAAAATCTTGTTTCAGACAAATAACTGAAGTGTCTTTGACACCTTGTCAAATAACTGATTTGACTGATTTGTCTCTCCCCTCTGAATAAAGGTTGTCTGGATGGATCAAGCCAAGGAGATCTCTTGACAACTTATAATAATAGCAGGACCATCCTTCATCTCCATGCTGGCCCCTGAACAGGAAACAGGTGTGTACAAGGTCATCTGCACTCCAAAGAGTCCTTTAAAGTCAATGACACGTGGTAATGAAAAACTAGTTTGAGTTAGGGCATAGATAATGACTGGAAAAAAGTCTAGATAGATTTGTTTCCTGAAGAAAGGGGTGATGCCTTTATCATCTTCCTGCTGTGGGTCTCTGGGTCTAGTCAAAGGCCATGTGCATAGCAGTGAGGAATAAAACTGAGAGGGGATGGATGGAGAGATGACCAGATCCCAGACCTGGCTGCAATTATTAGAGTCCACTTAACCAACGTGTATTTATTGAGAGCCCACTATGTACCAGGAAGTGTTCTAGGTGCTGGGATGCAGATAAAACTCCCATCCTCATAGTATGTTAGAACATGATAAGTACTGTGAACAAAACAATAAGGCAAGGAAGGGGAATCAGAATGATAGATGCCAGAATACAGGAGGCAAAAACTGCAATTTAAAATGGAGTGTTTGCTGAAGACCTCAATGAAAAGGCGGTGTTTGAGGGGGGAAAAAAAGGAAATGAAGAAAAAAATAAAATGCTGGATTTCTGGGAGAAGAGCATTCCTCGAAGTAGAGGCCTGCCTAGCATGTCGGCAGACAGCAAGAAGGAGTCAAGGGGTAGAGAACACAGTAGGAGGTGGGGGTCAGGTCGTGGGTAGCCTGGGATGGAAAGGGGAGAGGCTGGGATACTGAAAGCCTTTTCCTGTTTGGAAGAGAGGAAGACACAAGCCAGTTCTGAGCAGCTCTTACTTCCATTTAATGAGTCCCTCTGTTGCCACTGCTCCGAGAATAGACTCTGGAGGCACATGAAGAGGGGGAGCAAGACATGGGCAGGGGAACAAGGCAAGCAGTTATTACAGCAAATGCAGGTGACCCATGAGAGTGACTTAAACAGAGAAGACGGCAGTGAGAGGATGAGGCATGGCTGGCGTACAGAACGTTTTAGACTGTGCTCAGCCTTCACCTATAGACAGGGGTAAAACAAGTGGTCATCCTGCTGGAACAGACCCGAAAGAAAAGTTCTAGACTTGAATAAAATTGACAGTGTCTCTGGTCAAGAACCTTAAGGCCATTTGGCAAAGTGCCATGTTGGAATCATAGGCAAGAGTACACGTTTAGGGCTTCCCTGGTGGCGCAGTGGTTGAGAGTCTGCCTGCCGATGCACAGGACATGGGTTCGTGCCCCGGTCCAGCAAGATCCCACGTGCCGCGGAGCGGCTGGGCCCGTGAGCCATGGCCGCTGAGCCTGCGCGTCCGGAGCCTGTGCTCCGCAACGGGAGAGGCCACAACAGTGAGAGGCCCATGTACCGCAAAAAAAAAAAAAAAAAAGTACACGTTTATAATTCCTCCAGCCCTGGAAGTGAGGCAAAAAGGAAATGAAGGAGGTGGGGACATCTGTGAGCAAGGCATGGCCAAGGGCGGTGACTGGTGTTTGGGGGCGGAGGTGTTACAGATTCCCCCTTGAATGTCCTCTGTGCACGGGATGCAGAAGCAAGAAGCTTCACGGAGCCCCAGCGGGTGAGAAAGGGTGTCAGCTGTGGAGCACCTCCGAGAAACAAGGTGGAAATGGGGTCTACAGAGAACAGCAGTCTCCCCAAGTCTGTGGGCTGCACTTTGTGCTCTTCGGGAGGTGTTTCAGGTGGGGGAGGTGTGAATGGGGAGGATGGTGGATACCCAGGGCCGGCCTCATCCAGGTTTTCTTTTTGTGGGAAATCAGAAGGAACATATAAAATGACTCCTTCTCCTCCGGAGAATGATACTGATTGAAGATGATCCTTCCAAATTTCATTGCAGAAAATGAAGAACGGCTCCCAGTGAGTGTGATTTTCTACCTTCCTGACCCAGTGCTGAGGCGGGAGAAGGCTCATCCTTCATGCTGCTTCCTCTGTGCCAGAAGGCGGCACTCACCTCAGGGCACCATGCATCTTTCACCTGGACGGAGTCCTGGATCTGACGAGAGTCAGAGCTCATTTTGTTAATCTTCCAAATCCTATCAGAGATCAACCCCTGGCAGAGGTCTGAATCTGAACACGAAAGGAAATACAGGAGACAAGAGAGAGTGTACACGCATTAACCATTTCCTCTCAACGAGGCATCACGCCAAATACTTCTCATGTGTCATCGTATATAACCTTCAAACACCCTCAGAAGCAGGGTCTGGAAGGTGACTTAATCAACACACTGAAAACAATTAAGTGACTTGCGCCAGGTCACCTCTACCCTAAGTTTCTCACCCCAACATCATGATCTCCACGTTTCAGGATGCTGCTTCCTGTACAGGCTCTAGAAAAGGGGTATTCAGCCTGTGCCTCTCTCTGACCATGCCACCGGGAAATGTTCCACATGAAACCGTGCCACCTGGCTGCTGCTGTCCATGGGCCTGCCTGGCATGAGCCTGCAGATTACAGAAGAGGGAATGAGGGCAGGCACTTATGTTTTCCAAGCACATCCTTTGTGACAGGTTTTGTACTGTCTTTTACATACAGGATTTCATTTATCCCCCATCATAGCTGCTTGGGGAAAATATTACCTTCCATGGAGAAGCTCAGTGTTTACCCAGCTCACAGGTAGCTTTTCTGGGAGGCTGGGGCAGCCCCCAGTATGTTTCCAAATTCCATGCTCATGGGTGCATGAGCCCTGGGGAATCTCCCTGGTCGACAAGGTCTGGGGGCCACTCTCTGATTCTTTTCATCAAGAGTCACGGAAATTAAATTCAGAAAATCAGACTTGTCAGAATCGCTGAGGTCCGAGTGTACCAAAGAGGCATCCTGGATTTTCTGCTCTCGTGGGTAAGTGATCAGCAGGGAGGGTGGATTGTAACCTGCTCCCCACTGCCATTATCAAGAGTGTCGATGGGCCTGGGGCTCCAAAACCTGGCATTGCCACTCACTAGCCGTGTGACCTCATACATGTTACCTGGCCTTTCTGTTTCCTCAGCCACAAACGATATTGGGTATAAAAATTTGCTCCCTCCCAAGTTTCTTGTGAGGAAAAATGAGACACTGTTTAATAGCGTTTAGTGCCATGCTTATTGTGTGCTGGATAAGTCCTAGCAGTAGTACTGGTTGCCGAATAACTAGTACTTGTAACCAAAGTCTTTTCACTGTCAACAGCAGTTTGCTCTGCAGGGTCATATTTATTTGAAATTATTTAGAGTCACCATTGCAAGGAAGAGATGAGAAGGGAAAAACAGGAGCAGGAGATAAAGGACAGGAAAGCTGGTGGACAAGGCTTGAGAATGCTGGGGGGGACCACAGTGCCATGTGTGGGAACACTTTAGCCCAAGGGGCCACTGATGGTCAGGATCGCTTTCCCAGAAGGCAGTAGGGCCCCACGGAAGAGGGAATGAGCACCCAGTCCTGGGCCAGTAGTGATAGGTAAAGGAGGAAAAGAGAGGCCTTATCTTACCTGCTAGGTCATTTTCTCATGAAAGTGTTACAAGCCCCGTGCTTGGCAGGGCTCAGGCATGGGTGGGGTGTGACTCCCTCTTCACTTCTGCTTTATCAGAATTCCCAGCCGTCTCCTGTCTGACCAGCCAGCCCTTCATTCCAGCGCGTGTGGTACAGACAGGCTGCCTAGATGTATTCATCATGCAAATGGTTGCAATTTTTCTGCTTGGCTTGCTCCAGTCCCAGCATCCCACCCACACACAGACACACACTTCCATCCCTTCTGGACAATCTTATTTTGCTCTGATGGCTTTAAGGATCATGATTTCTCGTGTGTTTTCTACTGAAAAAGACAAAGGAGAGAGCTGTAATCCTCAACTCAGGCTGTGGCTTCTAATTATCTTATTAAAACCATTTGGGTTCCTTAAGCCTTTTATGTTGGTGGCCCTAGGACAATCTTCCTAATTTCTCATGTCATTTTCAAGGATGTCTTAATACCTGCTGATGAATTCAAGGTGAGGGAACTTTGCTATAAATTTTTTTTTTTTTATCAAAACATTATTCTCACACACAAGTAGTCTTGGCTTTAAGAGGTCTGTGCAGGGAAAAGGGTCATTTTGGAGTGTTTGCTCTTCACAATGAAGGCCCACCTTCTCTAAGTCTTCCTGTTTCATAGATTTAGGAAACAGGAAGACTTAGAGAACTCAAGCTTATTTTAAAATATAATATAATAATTTTTTAAAATGCCTTTGTTGTTAGGCTGAAGGTAGCTTACCTGCTCATTTGTCAAATCTGTGATTCTTATTGCCAGCAGAATGAGAAACAGGTATAGGACAAGAGAGGACAGAAAACATTTATTTCAAAGGGGAAAATAAGGATCTTCTTCTAACATGATTACCAATGCTCCATCTCCCTGATGGAAGATAATGCACTAGATATCTGAGTCATTGTATGGCAACCTCTTTGGATACAACAAGTTTTCAAAATTATCTAAGTAGTTGTGGGTTAAAGATAGGAAAGTCACATCATTAGAAGCTTCCATGATCCACAAAATAGACCACCCTGAGAAGCCCAGCTACCTGCAGGATGTCACTAACCCCTTATCTGCCTTTTAAGACTACCATGTCTCCTCGTCTGTGTAGCTTGGTTTCTTGTCCCATCAACCTCTTCTCTCTCAAAATATGTGCTCACACCATATCTAATCACATCTTTGAGTTCCCCAAACCATCTTGCCCCTAACACTTCCAGACTGACTCTACCCATGCTCTCCACTCTCACCTCCTGCCTCAACCCGCTACCCCTTGCCCTCCTAGCACAGGGGTCCCCAACCCGCATTAGGAACCAGAGGTGAGCGGCAGGCAAGTGAGCGAAGCTTCACCTGTATTTACAGCCACTCCCCATCACTCGCATAACCACCTGATCTCCGCCTCCTGTCAGATCAGCGGCAGCATAAGAGTCTCATAGGAGCGCGAACCCTACTGTGAACTGCGCACGCGAGGGATCTAGGTTGCATGCTCCTTATGAGACTGTAATGCCTGATGATCTGAGGTGGAGCTGAGGCAGTGATGCTAGCGCTGGGAAGCGGCTGCAAATACAGATTATCGTTAGCAGAGAGGTTTGACTGCACAGAGACCAAAATAAATCAACTGCTTGCAGACTCATATCAAAACCCACTCAGTGAGTGGCAAGTGAAAACAAGCTCAGGGCTCCCTCTGATTCTGCATTATGGTGAGTTGTATAATTATTACATTATATACAATGTAATAATAATAGAAATAAAGTGCACAATAAATGTAATGCGATTGAATCATCACAAAACCATCCCACCTCCCCCGCAGCCCCCCAGTCCATGGAAAAATTGTCTTCCACGAAACTGGTCCCTGGTGCCAAAGAGGTTGGGGACCGCTGACCTAGCAAATTCAGCAGAAATACCACCTCCTCTGTGAAACCTTTCCTGACCCCCACAGGCAGCCTTATGTCCTTCCTGCTGTTTCTACCTGGCTCCACTGAGTTTCAATCATCGTCAATCAATGTCAACAAGTGGCAGAAAGAGTAGTATCACAAAATATCCTATCTTTATGTATCTCCAAGTGCGTATCATTTAGGCTTATGGACTCCTGGCGATTTCTTTTGTACATATGGAGAAACTGAGGAAGTGCACTGTTTTAGCCTCAAGAAGTTATATACCACAGGGAATACAAGTTAAAACGTTCGTGTGCTGGGCAGTCCTTATCTGTGGATTAACTATGATGAGTGAGGACAAAAAGAATTGTATGAAAAACTGCCATACTGGACACTAATCAACACCAAAGCAGTGAATCCACTTAATTCAGTTCATTGCACAATTATCCATCTCCTACTAGAAGCAGGCACTGTACTGGCTACTTGTTTGGGGATCCACCCAAAGCTCCAAGGTGAGGTCTGGACATCGCAGAGCTATAAATTGAATGAGATCATAGACAAGGCAATGATAAATCCCCTGTGGGGTAAATGCTAATATTGGAGGAATTTTTTTTTTTTTTCTGATAGGAGACTAACAGCATTTCTTGTAGTTTCCATCCACTCTCCCTAGTTCTGCCTCCTGGTGGGACGCATAAAAAGTTCAAAATTCTTTATAATACAACTGTATAACTTTTTTTTTTTTTTTACAAGCATTCTTTGGCTACTCTCTCCATTTTGCCTCAAGCCATCTCTTCTTTTATGAAACAACTGTCTTCCTGGGACTTCCCTGGCGGTCCAGTGATTAAGACTCTGTGCTTCCACTGCAGGGGGCATGGGTTCAATTCCTAGTCAGGAACTAAGCTCCCGTAAGCCTCTCGGCATGGCTGAAAAACAGAAAAAGAAGAAACAACTCTCTTCCAATTGTTTCCTGTTCTGAAACGATGGCTTCTACATCCTGGCGAGTCTTTCCTTGACTCCCCCTGTCAGTATTGCTCTTAGAGTAGGCCGGCCAGCTCTAGACCCAGTGTGCAGCTGTGGTCTGAACCATGCTGCCATGTGTCACTAGCTACTTCCATAATCTATCTCCTGAAGGCACTGTCAATGTTTCTGGAAAGTTTTGGATCATGATTCAGCATATTAGATACCTACATATTAGACCCCTTTCCTAATCTTGTCATGCAGAAACTTGATAGGAATATCATCATTGCCTTTATAAGTCCATAATAATCATTTGAACAGGATAAAAACAATGTGCAGCCTCTGTCATGAAGCAATGATTTCTACCCTGGAGTCACGGACCAGCAAGGGAGGTGGGGTATTAACATAAGGTTGCCAATATTTTATTTTGCCAAGTTAGGACATTATTTACTTATTTTAAAAAGGAAAGAAAAGAAAGTACTGCCATCACCATCATTTTATAAGGGAAAGGACAGGCACACTCGCATCTCTACCACCATTAATGTTCTATATATCATGGTGCCACAGCCCACACTTAACCGATATTTGTGAATACATGGATGTAAAGATAAATATGATATATAGGAACTATGCTCCACTGAGTTAAAAATTATCTCTAACAATTCTTTAGCTCAGTGACTATTGATCTGGTAGCAAGAGAAGTTTCACTTGTCAGAGGGGACATGGCCAAGAGAACAGTTTACTGTGCTTGTGGGATGAAGTGAACTTGTGTGGCATGGTGTCCTGAGTCCTGCAAATACCCTGTCTTCCAGAATGCCTTAAACCCTGGCCCTACAATCTCAACACCCCCACCAGCCACAGGATGGCACAACCCTTGCCCAGTACCTCCCATGCCCACAGCTGTGAAAACTCAGAGATACCTGCAGTCATCCCAGGATGATGCATACCACCGAGGCTCCAGCTCCAAGGAGATTCATTTAATAAATCAGTAATAGCTCACCTTTCCTCAGCCCCCAACTGATAAGCCTACCTCTAGTCATCTTCATCTCCTCATCCTTCTGCAGCATTACCTGATACACTTACCTAAAGCTCAGCTCTCACTATAGCCTTCTCCAGCTCAGAGGTCTTTAATGATTTCCCATTAGGCACAGAAAAAGGCTGAGTCCTTAGACAAACATTAAAAGACTCGTAATCTGACTTTAGTGTATCTTTTCAGCCTTCCAGTAGTTTGTCTTCAACTCCCCTCT